GGGAGGTAATTGGCAGCAGGCGGTCTCTCAAGTACCCAGGTCCAATACCATGAAGGGCTTTATAAGTGACGACAGTCCATACTTTCAGTCATGAAAGCTTTTTTGATTTGGGGATCGCTCTCATCCCACACATTGGTTGTTCTGGAGGAAAAACTGGACTAGAGTGCTATTTTACCTTGAATGTCTGGATGAAAGGCAGGATATCTAATTAACAATGAGTGCATTTTTATGTAAAACCAAAATGGGAGTACTTATTATATTGTTCAAAGATATAGAGAATAGAGCAACTGCAGATCACAGGAACTGTGTTCAAAACAGTATGAATAAAATTTTGCACCCATTCCATTTAGCCACGGTAAGTTTTTAAAGAAAAACATTCCGAAAAATGTAAAAATAATTGGATTGCACATTTAATTGAACAAAACTTGATAGGGCAGAGATTTACAGGAGAAAAAGAAGTGTTCAAGTTGGATTCCCAATGTTTATGAAGAATGAAATTACTAAGCGGAGAGCTTGTGTTTAACTCAGATATAAAAAGTTGGGAGACGCATTTAAGGGTGAATCCCCACTCCCCCTCCCCCAATACGCCAGATAAAATTGCATGTATTAAGTAGTCACAAAAGTAATTGACCTTTAGGGAGGAAATGAAAAATGGAGGTAACTTATCTCATGTTGGTGTGTGTGTTTGTGTGAAATGATTGTGAGGAAAAATTCTATGCTTCCTAGCATTTTGTGGAGTTTCACTTTTTTATATACATGTGCCGCTTTCTCCCTGTAGTGGAAGAAAGGATTCTATCTCTCCACCACAAAAAGTCCTCCAGAAATTATCTTGATCTTAGAGCTAGCAGCAGGGTTACCGTCTTGAGGGAGCCGAGGTGGCGCAGTGGTTAAATGCAGCACTACAGGCTACTTCAGTTCTGCAGTTCAGCTGTTCAAATCTCACCAGGCTCANATGGAGTCTCGTGGTCTTCTTTCCTAATTACTCAATGAAGAGGTGCTGACAACATCTTTTTGTGGGCTTCGTCTAGTAGCCTGAATGCAATCATACTGTAAAATCATCTCTTCCTTACAATACAGTTATTATCAAGGACAGAAAGAAACACTTACCTCCCAGGATGGATCAAAGAGATCGTTACACACTTCTTCACAAAAACTTTCCAAAGGCCATTCATTGCTCTAAAGGGGGGGAAAAAATATGACTTATCATTGTAATTGAAGCTATGCTTTAAAAATTGAGCTGGAAGAGTTGATGTATTATCATTTACATTTGGTATAATCTTCTGAGCATAATTTGGGAAAAAGCAATTCTATTCAAAAATGAAAGTAATTAATGTAAGGATTTATGATATGCTTTGGGTTTAAAAATCTTTCTCTAGTCGCAACCTATTCCTACCTCAAGTGGAAAATTGAAGCAAGATCTGTCTGCTCCCCACTCTCCTTCCTGAGCCCCAAAAAGGCAGTCCTTCACTTACGTTGTAATTGAGCCTGAAATTAGGGTGGTGAAGTTACGGCAGTCATTAAGCAGGTCACCATGTGACTAATTTTACAACTGTTTCACAACAGAAGTTAATACTTGTGACTGGGGGGAAAAAAGCTGAAAATTTTACTTATATGTTTGTGGGACTCTGCAAATGGTCATAAATGTGAAGTAGTTGTCGAGCACCCAAAATGTGATCATGCAACCAGGTCCGTGCGTGTGTGTCCGTCCGTCCGCCAAGCAGAACTCCAGAACTGAGTTGTAAGTATCTTTTTGGGGATCCAGGCATAACTTCAAATGGTTGCTAAGCAACCAGTTGTTAAGCAAGCTTTAAAGGATCTGAACTGGCATGGTATTAAGATGAGCCATTCAAAATGAGAAAGCTTGCATTCCACACTTCAGCATCTTAAAATTTCTCTGTTTTGCTTTGATTACTATTGCTTTTAAAGAGAAATGTAATGTCTACAATGAGTGGGATTTAATGGAGAGTGTTACATGTTTTAAAAAGAAAATATTTCATTTCAAGTAATGAGCATAGATTTTCTGTCAATTAAATCCATTATGAAGACTTCCTGTACCTCTTCTGGAACATTATCAACTAAAAGTTTGGAGTCAGTTGCAGGTTGACTGATGATAACATTTCCAATTTTTCTTCTTTTTTCTTCTGGTTCACCATCAGTGCTGTCATTGCTAGAAAAGATATTGAAATATTTCTCAAACACTTCCATAATGATGATCACGTTACACCAGGGGTTCCAATCTTGGCAACTCTAAGACTTGTGAACTTCAACTCCCAGAATTCTCCTGGCTAGGGAAATCTGGGAATTAAACTCCAGAAATCTTAAAAGTTGCCAAGGTTGAACAACCCTGTATTACACTGTCTGTATTTATACTCCAAAATTCTTTGCTATGATGCTATTAAAATGGTTCATATTAGGGAAGATATCTTTTATAAAGACATTAAATTATCATTAGCAAATGCCAGAATATGGATAAATCGGATATAATTACTGAGAATATTCCAACATCAGAAATTTCTAAAAACTGAAAAAGAAGAACTATCACAATATGAGCAGCAACAAGACTAAAAATTCTTACATGCTGCTTTACTCAATTTATGATTTATCATTATACTCTTAATATTTTACTGCAGAAAATTAAACAACACTATTGGAAACTAAGGATTCAGGTTCGAATGGATGATTCATTATGCTAAAAACATACACAGAATAGGAGGTTGCTTCGTTAATGGAATGACTATTAAATGCAGTGACTGGATGTATATACTATTTACAGAATAACAAGAGTTGGAAGGGACCTTGGAGGTCTTCTAGTCCAACCCTCCGCTCAAGCAGGAGACCCTTAGAATGTAGAATATAGCACTACAGAAGAAAACTAATAAGAAGTGGAATCTTTGAGAGCCCAAGAGAAAATGGTTAGAGGAGGAAGAAGGGAAAGAAGAGATATATTAGTAGATTAAAGGGAATAGTAACATTGTTAATGTTATGTAGTTAATTAAGTTATAAGGAAATTATAGAAACATTGTTAATTGTGGATTAAATTAAATGCTCTCTATGTTAAAATTGAATGAGAGGATATATGTTGCTTATAGTAAAATAGACCAACAGATGAAATACGAAATGATAATTTGGTTTAACTTTGAAGGGGCAATTAGTGATATTGTTTATGTATTAAGAGGAAAATAAGATGAAAAATATGGAAAGAGAATAATATGGCTGAAATTGGAAACAGAACTATGATGTAAAATGGATTATGCATATGAGAGGCTGTAAAAAAAAAGACCCAGACAACACTTTGTTTCTAAAATATGTCAAAATTTGTAAGAAAAAACAAAACTTTGAAACAAAAAAGAATATAGAACTACAAACAAGTGGCTGTCCAGTGTCAGGGAAAAGGGCCAGAGAAAAAAAGGCAAATTGAGAACAGATCAAGAATTTTACCATGTTGACTAAAACAGAACAATAAGATGCAGGGCAACACGTGGAATTGAGAACAATGAAAGTAAATGGACAAGACAGCTTTCCATAATATATATATATATATATTTTAAAGACACAAAATGAAGAACAGAAAGTCCTTTGACTTATAATCACAACCGAGGCTGGAATCTTCAGTTGGGGAGTGAACTGGTTGTTAAGTAAGATGTCCATGTGACTGATTCACTCAACAATCGCAATCCCAGCTGTGGTTGTTAAAATGATCTCCTGGGTCATTTAGACTGAACGAAGTTAAAAAAATATATATATATATTATGGAAAGCTGTCTTGTCCATTTACTTTCATTGTTCTCAATTCCACGTGTTGCCCTGCATCTTATTGTTCTGTTTTAGTCAACATGGTAAAATTCTTGATCTGTTCTCAATTTGCCTTTTTTTCTCTGGCCCTTTTCCCTGACACTGGACAGCCACTTGTTTGTAGTTCTATATTCTTTTTTGTTTCA